CAAAATACTACCATTGAATCGAGTATTCCCAAAAACCTCGGTAAGAAATATTATACATTTTTCTCAAGGTTATTTGAGAGAAGTAGGTTGCTTGATAACTTTTATGACGTCATCTTGGGTGCTTTAATCATAAAGCACCTCAGGTGACGTCATCAAGTTACCCCTTGCCAGAGACTACCTATTAACTCTAGAAACCTTGCATTTTTCTTAAGCGAGTTCTGAAATATTAGGCCGTTTGCATGCATAACGGCAACAATGTATCAGAAATATCTGTGAAAATATTCACGTGTGACATATCTGTCAATTTTTTCAGGAGCTCAATAAACATTGCCAATGGAATTTATTTCTAATTGCTGTCAAAATTTGTCTGAAATTCAGTCGATAATTATGAAGTTCACTTGACTGTAAAGCGTCCAAAACTGTCAAAATAATGACATGTGATATCTGTCAATTTTTCTAGGAACTCGTGAAGCATTGATTAATAAAATTTGATTTTGACAGCTTTTGAAATTTGCCTGATTGGAGATATAGGATTTATTTTCTCAAAAAATCACTCAAATTATCAAGTTCACTTGACTTTAAATCATCCAAAACTGTCAAAATAATGACGTTTAATACCTGTCAATTTTTCCAAAATCTCATTAAATATCGAACTATAAAAATCACTTTTGGTGGTTTGCAAAATTTGACATTAGAGCATTTGAAACTGTCAAAATCAAGACGTGTGTTAGCTGTTAATTTTTCTAAGATCTCATTGAATATCAAGCTATAAAATTCACCTTTGGTGATTGTCAAAAAATTTGAATTTAACTAGAGCATTCAAAACTGTCAAAATCGAGAAGTGTGACAGCTGTCAATTTTCCTAAGAGTTTATCAAATATCGAGCTATAAGATTCATCTTTGGTCGTTGTCAAAATTTGACTTTAGAACATTCAAAACTGTCAAAATTAAGACGTGTCATAGCTGTCAATTTTTCTAAGAGCTCATTGGAAATCAAGGTATAAAATTCACCTTTGGTAGTTGTCAAAATTTGACTTTAGTTAGAGCATTCAAAACTGTCAAAATCAAGACGTGTGATACCTGTCAATAATTTTTCTAAGACTTCATTAAAGATTGAGCTACAAAATTCATCTTTGGTGGTTGTCATAATTTGACTTTTGGAGCACTCAAAACTGTCAAAATCAAGATGTGTGATAGCTGTCAATTTTTTTTAAGATCTCACTAAAGATCGAGCTATAAAAATCAAATTTGAATTGAAAGCATTTGACAGCTGTCAAAATTTGCCCGATTTGAAAACTTCGATTTAATCTTCATTAAAAAACACTCAATTTTCAAGATCACTGTCATAATATTGACGTGTGTGATAGCTGTCAAATTTTTTTTTCAGAATTTCATTGGACATTGGGCTATGAAATTTACCTTTGACGGCTGTCAAAATTAGCCCAATTTAAGATCCACGATTTATTATTCCTGAAAATTGTAGTAGTTTTCTTGACTTTCGAGTTTATAGAACATCCAAAACTGTCAAAATAATGACGTGTGTAATAGCTGCCAATTTTGTCAGGAATCCATTAGATATTGAGCAATAGAATTTAAACTTAGCTGTCAAAATAAGACGATTTGATTTATTTGCCATTAAAATCATGCCAATAATCAAGGTCATTAATTTGATTTTAGAACATCAAAATCAGTCAAAATAATGACGTGTAGTGAATGATAGCTGTCAAATTTTTAAGGAGCCCATTCAATGATTTGACGTTCTGTCAATTTTGCAATATTCAATATTCAATGGCTGTCGAATTAGTCAAGTTGAAATTCTTCTGTTCAATATCGCGAAGTAGGCGATTTGACGTTCTGTCAATTTATCAACATTCAATATGGCAGCGTGGGCATAACAAATTTGGCGACCATAAAGGTACGTTCACATCCAATTCCAATTTAAACTGCAATTGGAATTACTTGACAGAGCAGGAATGAATGGCTATTTGAAATTTGCATTGAAATTGAATGTAAACGTATCTTTACGGTTTATTATGCCCACGGCGCCATATTGAATAATAATAATAATTTGATAGAACGTCAAATCGCCTACTTAGACGTTGAGCAAAAGAATTTCAACTTGACAGATTTGACAGCAGACATTTTTTCATTAGCGAGAAATCTTCATCTGTCAATTAACAACCACCTGGTTGTCAAAAATGGATACTTTAACGTGTGGTAGCTTACATTAGAAGACCAAGGTTGTTTGAAAGAGATAGATTACCTGATGACGTCATCTGGAGTGCCTAAACATATTGCAAATCTCCATTAGGCATCTTTGATGACGTCATCTGTTTCCCATTACCAGACAACCTGTTCATCTGTCAATTAGTAACTGTCAACTTTAGCATTAAGTTATAAGCGGACATATGTCATTTGTCAAATTTTTGTTCCAGCTCGACGGTCGTAATAACTTGCGACCAGCAGGGGCAAATTCTACTCGGTCAAATACCGAAAGCTTCCAGAAAATTCGTCAAGAAAATCCCGAAAGCCATTACCGCTCAGTGTATTGTTGTGCTGGACAAAAATGGCGACTGTTCGTTTTTGATGGGGATTCACGAAGGAAATTTCACCGGAAATGGTAAGAACTGTCAATAACTAGTAGACAGATAAATGTCATATTTATTACCAAATTAGGCAATTCATTTACCTGTCAAGCGAAATTCAATATGGCCGTTGAGGTTAAACACCGTGTTGTTTACATTTAGATTACTAATGAAAAATAACTTATTTTGTCATATTCTGGACGTTTAGGTTTGACATTTGGCATTGTCATGTTTAACATCCACAAAACACAAATGCTTTTCTTATGAACGTCATCACAATATTTGACCTCTGAACGGCCATATTGAATCACGTGTTTTACGTCAAAGCGAGTAATAACATGCTGCCTACGTCACAAATGGTGATTTGGTAACATCCTTGATCTGGATTGCCTAATTGGTTTACAAATGACTTTTTGGTTTAATGTTTTTCTGTCAAACTGTGACCAACCAATTGTCCATGTCATAGTATACATTCAATTGGCAACACTGTATTTAATTTTATTAATGGCAACATTATTAAATCTTCATAGATTGAACAACATATGAGGACATCATCACAGGACATCTCCGCTTTTAATAATGGACGGAAATATTTCCAAAATGGCTTTAAGTTTAGCTGACAAGCACAAAGTTCCAGGTAAGTGTTACATTCTAAACAGTTTGAATTTGATATTATAAAGGTAGAGTGAAGTTGCGGATGTGACTTGATAGATTAGGGCTTGGTTTATTCATCATGGTTGACCAATAAGATCACAGATTGAGTTTTTATCTGTCAGATTGTATTACCTTACAGTTAACCGGAAGGTGAATAAACCGGGCTTAAGAAAACCAAAATATGTAGTTCACAGATAAATATTATAATGGAGGGAATCAATTTTAGATTTCTTAGGGCTGAAATTATAATGTCCAGGTAACCTTAGGTTAACTTTTAATTATAAAACTAATATCTATATATATCAAAAATACAATAATTTGATTTTAAAAAGGCCACTCGGTTAGGTTTGTTTTACAATATAAGAAAAATACATACAGGTGCCAGATTGAAGCTGAAAATGAAGCAATTTGAGGTTATGTTTGAGTAGTTTTCACCGGTGATGACGTAAAAAGATTGAAAACGGAACATGCCCTAGCTAAGGGTGGGTTTATACAGACACATAACAGAGGTTTATTTTTACAAGAGTTTTTTTGACAGTTTGCAAATGTTTGGTATCTGTATAAACCTACCTTAAGACAATTGTTTTCAACACAAGTTACTCAATTCAACATACAAAAATATTTTTAATATTTCTGTCCTTTTCTTCAATACATTAATAGAAAAAGAGAACACTACTACTAATAATTAGGTATGTTCCATCCTAGTCTGTGCTGTGGTTTGGGTTGCATTTGTATAATCAAATTTTTCGATTCGCGTTGTCTTTCGTGACTCAATTTCGCCTCTTTATACAGAAAGGCCGAGGCAAAACCGTGAAAAAAGAAAGAGAGACAGGCCAAACCGTACGACCAACAAAGATAGTTGAAGTTGGGGTTGGCGAATCCGGCCCGAAGGGCCGGAGTTATATGCGAATCCGGCCCGAAGGGCCGGAGTTATATGCGAATCCGGCCCGAAGGGCCGGAGTTATATGCGAACCCGGCCCGAAGGGCCGGAGTTATATGCGAATCCGGCCCGAAGGGCCGGAGTTATATGCGAATCCGGCCCGAAGGGCCGGAGTTATATGCGAATCCGGCCCGAAGGGCCGGAGTTATATGCGAACCCGGCCCGAAGGGCCGGAGTTATATGCGAATCCGGCCCGAAGGGCCGGAGTTATATGCGAATCCGGCCCGAAGGGCCGGAGTTATATGCGAATCCGGCCCGAAGGGCCGGAGTTATATGCGAATCCGGCCCGAAGGGCCGGAGTTATATGCGAGGCCGGAGTTATATGCGAACCCGGCCCGAAGGGCCGGAGTTATACATGAGCCCGAAGGGCCGGAGTTATACGCGAGCCCGAAGGGCTAGAGTTATACACGGGGCCTTGTTTATAATTCCTTTGGTCAGCGGATAATTTAGAGCCAATCAAAAACCGGGAATATTAAAAATGCAATTTTTAGCGCTCAATCAAAAAGTCGGGAATATTCAAAAACTTTAGTTTTATCAAATTGACTTTGGAATGTTGGTTTTCCTGAGATTTTTATTTTTTTCAGAAAACGGTGGTTTTCGCAAACATATACTACTTTATCGTTGTCTTTGTCTTACTCACTATAATCAATAAGGAAACCTTGTAATGTCATTTTCATCGAAATTAAACTAAAAACAAGTTTCCTATGATTTATTTGGGGAATTTTAATTATTATTATCATTATTAATTAATTATTGAATTGAATTTTAAACAAAAATCCCATTTAAAATGTTATTTTTCCGAAATGAGATGTGGCAACGTTGTTTTTAGTTGGCCATTTTGAAGTGACGCCTTGTAATTTTTTGCCAGTTTTTCCTCGAATTTTTCACTTTTCCGGGGCTTTTCAATGGAAAAGGCAATTTCACATACGAGGCTTTGAGTTTTCTTCATTTTCTAGCAAAAATGTCCAGTTTTAAAATGACAAAAATAACAAAATCCCATTTAAAATGGTTTTTTTTAAAAGGTTTGATGTGGCAACACCGTTTGTACCAACTTCAAATAGGTTTTTTAATAAATGTCATTTGCCAGTTTTGACAGTCGACAATTTTTAATTCACGTGTTCACATTTCTATCCAGTTTTTCCTCGAATTTTCCGCTTTTCCAAGCCGTTTTCAGTCAAGAAAACCGATTTGAAATACGAGGTTTTGAATTTCCTACATTTTGTGCTAAAAATTCCCAGTTTTCCAATGGGGTAAGTGACAAAAACTCAAATTTCATTAAGTATGCTTTGAAATGTCATTTTTAGAGGTTTTTCTTTGAATTTGTCCGCTTTTCCAGGGCTTTTCTGGTCGGAAAAACTGATTTAAAGTACGAGACTTTGAGTTTTCTTCATTTTCCACCAAAAATTTCCAGTGTTTTAACGGAATAAGTGAGAAAAACTTTAGTTTTATCAAGTAGGTTTTGGAATGTCATTTTCGTTGGCTTTTTTTTTTGGAATTTATATTTAAGGTTTTTGAGGTCCGGGGATCGTTTTCTATAACTTTTTTTTCTCGAAATTCGCAAAATAAAAAAAAAAAACTTTTTTGACGTTGACAGCTGTCAATTTTTTTTGACACAAATCGATAGTTAGCATCGCAAAATTGCCTTGTACCGGGGTTTGATTTTCGTAGCTTTTATAGTAGAGCGGAGAAAAAGTCGAACATGTGTCAAATTTGACAGATGACATTTGTCGATATTGCCAAAGTGTCGTGCGACAAAAGTTTTATCCGAACGAACCCGTTCATTGTTAACTGATTTTTCATACTCCGGCCCTTCGGGCCGTAATCTTTGAGACAAAGAGACGTCATTTTGTATCGATTGTCAAAAAACTCAAGGTTTGAAATTTCAATTTTTTGACGTTTGTTGTATCATGAGCAGTGTTGCCATATGTTTTTCTTTCGAATCTCGAGCTCGAAGGGCCGAAATTATAGATTATTTTAAAGCCAATCAAGAGCCGGGAATAAACAAAATTCGAATTCCCAAACCAATCAGGAGCCAGGAAAATTCAAAAATTCGAATTCCAAACCCGAAGGGAAATTGAATTTTTTGTACCAACTGTTGCTACATAAATCTCACCCTAAAACCCACTAAAAAATGACCTTTGTTTTTTGGAAAAAACAAAAGATTTTTTTTTTTGAGATTGACAGCTGTCAAAATTTCAATGGGCATATAGATTTAGCCTCGGCAAATACGTAGGAAGTACTAATTTTTTTTTTTAACATATGTCAAAAAAGACGTTCGGCGGATATGGAATTTTGAAATTGAAATCTAAATGGAATTCCGAGGAATTTCATGAAATTCTATACTGTAATTAGCCTCCTCAATTTAAATAGTCACGAGCCGCCACTGATAAAAATTAATAGTTAGGCTGGAACTCAATATTTCTGTGCCTACCCATTACACTTACTACATACAATACCAAATTCACTATGGGGGCTCAAGCCCCCATTGCCCCCATGGTTCCGGCGCCTATGATTCCAACCGAACAAATGCATATGAACATTGCCCCGACGTCTCACAGCGAACATGAAACTATTGCTACTTCTCAACTTTTGGTGTAAAAGTTGTATATATTTAAAAGGCTTCCAAAAAAAATGCCAATGAGGGGATTTTTGGGGACTTTTTATGCGTTGTAGAGCACTATCACAGGAACCCAAAACAGGTCTCAGAAAAACTCTGGGATTTTTTTTGAGGTTTAGGCGAAATTTTGCCTAACATTCCTGGGCTACGTAATTCGTGATTTTTTAGCCTCCTCACTTGAAATAGTCACGAGCCGCCACTGATTGGTAGATTTAGGGCCAAATTACAGTATATTTGCATCTGCAAATTTGCAGTTCTGTAAATATGGTCGACTTGCATTTTTGTTCTATTTGCAGAAACGAGCAAATTACAGAAAAAAATCTGCAATTTCGTCATATTTATCGGAGAAAAATGTTTGGGCGCTACTGATTTTCCAGTTTTAAATGTCAAAGTTGTCAAACTGATTGCAAGGACTTGCGGGACCGTTTCCCCATCCGCAAATTTGCAGATGCATTCTGCTTTTGTAATACGAAAAGTCAGACTTGCAGGACTTGCATTTGCATCTTGATGTTGCAGATTTTATGTAATTCCAGGCTTAGTGCAAAAAAACATGTATTTCCGTCACTTTTTTTCACATGCTAGTGAAATAGGACATGAATATAGTCAGTGCGCATTGAATTTATCAATGGATTTTACTGTATAAAACAACCTTGGTTCGCAGTAACATTAGCCGTGTTCGTTTTTGTCAATTTTTCGTCGATCTGCTCCGGAATTTTGACAGGCACGTGATTTGTGAATTGAAACTGTTTGATCAAGTCACATGTCTGTCAAAATTTCGGAGCAAATCAACGAAAAAAAATGACAAAAACGAACACGGTCACTGTAAAATTAGTGCAAAAAGATGTATTAACTATTTATTCCTTTACCAAACCAAGAGAGAGAGATGAAAATACAGTTAATTTAATAATAAATATAGTAAAATCTATTGGTTTTGTGCGCACTGAGTGTATTCGTGTCTTATTTTACTAGCATGTGAAAGAAAATGATGGAAATGTTTTTTGCACTAATTATTCTATCAAGTAGGTTGCCTGATAACTCTTATGACGTCATCTGGGGCGCCTCAAATAGTTCATTGGCCTCAACATAAAAGTTGTGTTGTATGCCTTTCACACCTTTGTGGAGCTCTAGAACAGCTCCGGGGCATTACGCGCTTATTTCTTTCATTGGTTGTACTACGCATATGTTCCTTTGAAATCGGAAGCGACTAACACCGTAGCGAGTAGCTCTAGTGTTTTTAATCCTTGAAAGGAATACAACTAATGCAAATCTCCATAAGGCACTCTAGATGACGTCATCAAGTTACCCTTTACTAGACAACCTTGACCGTGAACAACATTGAACATTTTTCAATTAATGAAATCTTTTTTTCAATACCTATGTCTGTCTTTGTTTATTACATGCAAAATGACGCGACGATGAAAAAAAAAAAAACCAAAAACAAAGCGCCTATTCCTAACATGGCCATGGAAAATTATGACGTATGACAGATTTCGGACTAATAATTTGAATTTTACGGTTTTTATTGTTAAAAACGGTAATTTCAAACTGGCCCAGTGCAGTATATTAAATTTTGATTTTCTTTCCTGGTTAAATTCGGATAAAAACTAAACGTGACAACGTCGCAGTTGTCGCCGGCCGGCGCCACCACCATCACACACACGCGCGATCGCAGCGCCACCGTGCGCCAAACCCGCCGAACCGCGTCAGAAAAGCAACATGGCAGCCTCAGCGACAACGCTTGCGCTTCCTTTTTTTTTTGAAAAAAAAAACAAAATTCGCCGTAAATTTTCCATAGAAAAAGTCAACGTTAAAGTCGGGCTTCGGTTACGTGTTTTGTTTCGTTTTTGTAGTGCACGTGTAGCTCTATTTGGCTCTATATTAAAGGAGTAACTATCGAAAAAAAAACTATCGATAGAGTGGCTTATCTATCGATAGTAACTATCGATTGTACTATCGATAGTTTGCCCTGACCAAAGTAACCAAATTTCTAATTAATTACGAAATAAATTTATCAAATAACAACAATAACATCATAACCTAAAATAAACATTAACCTCCAACCACTATTAAGTCCATGAAAGTCACTTGTCACATTGCTCGCCATTCCTGTCAACCTAAAAATTAAAAATTGGCAGCACAGCATGTCTTCCCCAAAAAAATAATTACACATTTCTCAAAACAGCTACAGATTTCTTTATATTCACACGTTATTGATTGAGAAACCGGCCCTCAAGAGTTTGGAACACTCGAGCTACTCGCTCCGGTGTTAGTCGACCCCGATTTGAAAGGAAGAAATACGTGGTGCAACATTTTTCGAAAAGGAATAAGCGCATAACGCTACGGAGCTATTCCAGAGTTCCTCCTAGGTGTGAAAGGAATACAATTATTGCAACTGGGTTCGCTTACCCTGAAGTTAAAACCAACTCGGAGGTGACTCGCTATTGAGAAACCGGCCATTTGGAACTATCGATAGTGGTACAGGTCTATCGATATTATCGAAAATGAAAAAAATATCGATATTCCTATCGATAGTTTGTTATCCCTAAATTACAAAATGGTGGAGCTACCGCGTGCTTTTTAATGCGACATCAGGTTTGCCGCTTTTTTTTTTTTAATCGCTCCTTTTATTTTGTAATTAAAAAATTCTCATCACTCCTATTAAAATCAAGCAAACGGTACACTCTTCCTTATTACTGACCATGCCCCAACAACCCACATTTACATTAACAGAACATAACCTCAAAAAATCATAACAATTTATTTTATTCCACCAGAAGTCCTGCTCAAGACCGATTTACATACCAAACATTGCCGCACAAGCCCTAGAAAACTCAAGAAAGAGTTCCCGCTCTAAAAGACGTCATTGGAGAATATCTGATTCCATTGGTACTTAGAAATATAGGATGCTCAGACGCCGGAGTGGACAAAACAGCTCAGACTACCCTGGTGCAGCTCATACAGCGAGGCTATGTCACACAAACCCAGGCCGAAATCAAAATATGCCCCCTCGATTTTGGCCCTTACGAAAATGGAAAGTCAGCATCAACTAGATGTCAACACTGGTGCTATTATGGTAAGAATTAATTGCTACTGTATTTTTTCATTTATTGATAATGCTATTATAACCAATCAAATGCTATTGCTTTATGAAAGATATGTGTACTGAGATGTTTTATTTAAATTTTGTCTCACTACCCTTGTCTTTCATGTAGCGGCTAGCAAAAACTTCAACATCAACACCCAGGAGGAAATACTAAATAAGTTTGCCATTGCTCTTCAAAGTTGGATGTTTTAGATAATTGTGAATTCTGTAACAGCCAGGTTTGATGAGCAATGTTGGATTTCGGAAGCTCGAGAGACAGTGTGATGTTTGTTACCTGAAATCTTCAACTTGGCTGTGAACTCTTGATTTTATACTTGATATCATAGCCACTTTGATGAGTTAGGTGGCAAATACGATCGCCCCAATGGACCATGGACGCTGGTGGATGGATTTTAGTTATAGTTTTTTCTGTGTTTTATTGTTAACAATATGTAATAATAATTGTTTTAGGTATTTTTATATGTATTTTGTCAATAGGGAACTTTGCAATTTTTTTAAATCATTTATTTATGCCTTGAGAGAGTATTCCCCTGAAACTCAATAACAACTTAGTGAAAAATGTTATATCGGGTATTTATTATGTAGAGTTCGAGTAAACACTCAGAGTTGCTGCTTTGTTCTTTTATCCCTGTTCTTCTCATTATAAAAAAAAAGACGAAAAATGCTCCAAGCGCTCAGTGTTTCAAGACGAACTCAGGGTATGATGGACAGTTGCTAACAGACACCGACAGATCATACGCTGAAAATAATTTGAATTTTTCCACATTTTTAATTCCTTATTGGCTTGATTTGAATTAGTTTAAAGTTGAATTTTGGCTGTTTGCAATAAAAAATAGCATATTGTATTTTATTTTTACGTTTTTTCAGTTGGTTATGAAAATACTATACCTTATTTTTCAATTTAAATTCTGGAATTTTCATTATTTCTCCTATTCCAGGCTCTTGATTTTTTGTCCAAATGATTTGAATTTTTACTATGTTGTGCCTCTAAGCCTCAAAAATATTCACTCAAAATTTCATATTTGCGTTTCAAGTAGTTTTTGAGTAAATGGTTAATATGTAAAGGCATGTCATATTAGAAGAAAATGTCTATTTTCAAAAATCTTGTAACTTTGCAATTTTTTGTTCGATTAATTTAAATTTCTAGTATGTTTTGTCTCTAAGCCTCAAAAATATTCCCTCAAAATCTCATATTCGTGCCTCGAATAGTTTTTGAGTAAATGATCAAAATGTGGAGGCATGTCATATCAACCCTATAGAAGAAAATGTCAATTTTTTAAGATCTTGTAACTTTGCAATTTTTCAATCAATTGCTTTGAGTTTTCAGTATGTTTTGCCTCTAAGCCTCAAAAATATGTCCTCAAAATCTCATATTTGTGGCTCAAGTAGTTTTTGAGTAAATGGTCAAAATGTGGAGGCATGTCATATCAGCCCTATAGAAGAAAATGTCCATTTTTTAAGATCTTGTAACTTTGCAATTTTTCAATCAATTGCTTTGAGTTTTCAGTATGTTTTGCCTCTAAGCCTCAAAAATATGTCCTCAAAATCTTATATTTGTGGCTCAAGTAGTTTTTGAGTAAATGGTCAAAATGTGGAGGCATGTCATATCAGCCCTATAGAAGAAAATGTCCATTTTTTAAGATCTTGTAACTTTGCAATTTTTCAATCAATTGCTTTGAGTTTTCAGTATGTTTTGCCTCTAAGCCTCAAAAATATGTCCTCAAAATCTTATATTTGTGGCTCAAGTAGTTTTTGAGTAAATGGTCAAAATGTGGAGGCATGTCATATCAGCCCTATAGAAGAAAATGTCCATTTTTTAAGATCTTGTAACTTTGCAATTTTTCAATCAATTGCTTTGAGTTTTCAGTATGTTTTGCCTCTAAGCCTCAAAAATATGTCCTCAAAATCTTATATTTGTGGCTCAAGTAGTTTTTGAGTAAATGGTCAAAATGTGGAGGCATGTCATATCAGCCCTATAGAAGAAAATGTCCATTTTTTAAGATCTTGTAACTTTGCAATTTTTCAATCAATTGCTTTGAGTTTTCAGTATGTTTTGCCTCTAAGCCTCAAAAATATGTCCTCAAAATCTTATATTTGTGGCTCAAGTAGTTTTTGAGTAAATGGTCAAAATGTGGAGGCATGTCATATCAGCCCTATAGAAGAAAATGTCCATTTTTTAAGATCTTGTAACTTTGCAATTTTTCAATCAATTGCTTTGAGTTTTCAGTATGTTTTGCCTCTAAGCCTCAAAAATATGTCCTCAAAATCTTATATTTGTGGCTCAAGTAGTTTTTGAGTAAATGGTCAAAATGTGGAGGCATGTCATATCAGCCCTATAGAAGAAAATGTCCATTTTTTAAGATCTTGTAACTTTGCAATTTTTCAATCAATTGCTTTGAGTTTTCAGTATGTTTTGCCTCTAAGCCTCAAAAATATGTCCTCAAAATCTTATATTTGTGGCTCAAGTAGTTTTTGAGTAAATGGTCAAAATGTGGAGGCATGTCATATCAGCCCTATAGAAGAAAATGTCCATTTTTTAAGATCTTGTAACTTTGCAATTTTTCAATCAATTGCTTTGAGTTTTCAGTATGTTTTGCCTCTAAGCCTCAAAAATATGTCCTCAAAATCTTATATTTGTGGCTCAAGTAGTTTTTGAGTAAATGGTCAAAATGTGGAGGCATGTCATATCAGCCCTATAGAAGAAAATGTCCATTTTTTAAGATCTTGTAACTTTGCAATTTTTCAATCAATTGCTTTGAGTTTTCAGTATGTTTTGCCTCTAAGCCTCAAAAATATGTCCTTAAAATTTCATATTTGTGGCTCAAGTAGTTTTTGAGTAAATGGTCAAAATGTGGAGGCATGTCATATCAGCCCTATAGAAGAAAATGTCCATTTTTTAAGATCTTGTAACTTTGCAATTTTTCAATCAATTGCTTTGAGTTTTCAGTATGTTTTGCCTCTAAGCCTCAAAAATATGTCCTCAAAATCTTATATTTGTGGCTCAAGTAGTTTTTGAGTAAATGGTCAAAATGTGGAGGCATGTCATATCAGCCCTATAGAAGAAAATGTCCATTTTTAAAGGTCTTGTAACTTTGCAATTTTTAAGTCAATTACTTTGAGTTTTCAGTATGTTTTGCCTCTAAGCCTCAAAAATATGTCCTCAAAATCTCATATTTGTGGCTCAAGTAGTTTTTGAGTAAATGGTCAAAATGTGGAGGCATGTCATATCAGCCCTATAGAAGAAAATGTCCATTTTTTAAGATCTTGTAACTTTGCAATTTTTAAGTCAATTGCTTTGAGTTTTCAGTATGTTTTGCCTCTAAGCCTCAAAAATATGTCCTCAAAATCTTATATTTGTGGCTCAAGTAGTTTTTGAGTAAATGGTCAAAATGTGGAGGCATGTCATATCAGCCCTATAGAAGAAAATGTCCATTTTTAAAGGTCTTGTAACTTTGCAATTTTTAAGTCAATTACTTTGAGTTTTCAGTATGTTTTGCCTCTAAGCCTCAAAAATATGTCCTCAAAATTTCATATTTGTGGCTCAAGTAGTTTTTGAGTAAATGGTCAAAATGTGGAGGCATGTCATATCAGCCCTATAGAAGAAAATGTCCATTTTTTAAGATCTTGTAACTTTGCAATTTTTCAATCAATTGCTTTGAGTTTTCAGTATGTTTTGCCTCTAAGCCTCAAAAATATGTCCTCAAAATCTTATATTTGTGGCTCAAGTAGTTTTTGAGTAAATGGTCAAAATGTGGAGGCATGTCATATCAGCCCTATACAAGAAAATGTCCATTTTTTAAGATCTTGTAACTTTGCAATTTTTCAATCAATTGCTTTGAGTTTTCAGTATGTTTTGCCTCTAAGCCTCAAAAATATGTCCTCAAAATCTTATATTTGTGGCTCAAGTAGTTTTTGAGTAAATGGTCAAAATGTGGAGGCATGTCATATCAGCCCTATAGAAGAAAATGTCCATTTTTTAAGATCTTGTAACTTTGCAATTTTTCAATCAATTGCTTTGAGTTTTCAGTATGTTTTGCCTCTAAGCCTCAAAAATATGTCCTCAAAATCTTATATTTGTGGCTCAAGTAGTTTTTGAGTAAATGGTCAAAATGTGGAGGCATGTCATATCAGCCCTATAGAAGAAAATGTCCATTTTTAAAGGTCTTGTCACTTTGCAATTTTTCAGTCAATTGCTTTGAGTTTTCAGTATGTTTTGCCTCTAAGCCTCAAAAATATGTCCTCAAAATCTCATATTTGTGCTTCGAGTAGTTTTTGAGTAAATGGCCAGTATGTGGAGGCATGTTATACTTGACTTAATAGAAGAAATTTTTTAAAAATCCCAAAATTTATTCGAAATTGCGAAGAGCGAAATCCTATCCCAAAATTCTTATAAAATTCCAACTGAAACCCTTCTGAAATCCTGAAATTCTAACTAAAATACTTCTGAAATCCCGAAATCCCAATAGATTTATCGGAATTCTCAAAATTCTTATTGAAGTTGAATATTTGAAATGTTTCGAAATCCTTTGGAAATTTAAAAATCCATTCAAAATCGCGAACAACGACATTCTATCCGAAATTCTTATGAAATCCCAATTGAAATCCTAACTGAAATCTGGAATTAAAACCGAAATCTCTTTGAAATGCTGAGATTTCAACCGAAACCCTTCTGAAAAACTAAAATTTCAATAGATTATCGATATCTTTAAACGTAGTATTGAAGTCGAATATCTGAAATATTTCGAAATCCTTTGGAAATCCCAAAATCCATTTGAAATTGCGAATAGCAAAATTTGATCTGAAATTCTTATGAAATCCCTCTTAAATCTCAGAATTCCAACTGAAGCCCTTCTGAAATTACGAAATTCTAATCAAAATCCTTCTGAAATTCCGAATTCCGAATAGATTATCGAAATCCTCTGAATGCAGGAAAATTCTTAAATGTAACTTTTCTGTATGTTTTTTTAATCAAATAATCTCATTTGCCCTATAGGTACCTACTTTAATAAATCTATAAGGAACATACATGGAAAAAGCTTCTGTTTATTTATTTTAAGGTTTTAATATTTTAACTTTTACACTAAATTTCCCTTGGCCCATAACCTAATGTGATTTCACTTTTAATTTCAGCCTAAAATAAATTTTTCCGATTACAGATTACAGAAAAATGCTCTACCCAAAGAAGAAACGTTTGTTGACTACGCAACCCGTCAATTTGGTTGTGTACCGTTCCTATTCGTACAGGTATCACATCCATTTTGACGAGTTTTGTGCTCAGCCTGTACTCATCAATCTACAGCCAATAATGGATACTTGTGCCGCTCATCAAATGGTTGTGAAATGTTAGTTTTCAATATTCATATCTCAGCCAGCTTTGATGAGCGATACGACATCAATGGACAACGAGTTTTTGGAACGCAAAAAAAGTGCATTCTCGTGCTCATCAACTGGACGTGAAATGTTAGTTTTCAATATTCATATCACAGCCAGCTTTGATGAGCGTGAGCATTCATTGAATTCGACATAATGTGGGCCTGCAATGTGATTTTTTTCAAGCCTAAAAATGTCTTATATAATGAGTTTGTTTGTTTTACTTTTCAGCTAATGAGCAAATTAGCCCACCTGTTCGGCAAAGACATTACCGAGCGGATTTTGATGAGGCGATTTCAAGAGTTGTGTTCCAGCCATTTGTTTTACGTTAGGAAATTGTCCGCTTCGGATATTGGGCATTATTGTGCCATGGTTGGCAAGGATTACTTGTTGGTTGAACATTTTAAATCTTTTCACGTGGCTCCGGTTTAACTAACCGGGTTACAGAAATGACATACCGTTTTCTAACCCTGTTACAAAATGACGTGATAAATACCTACCACTCGAATTTGAGCGGTTTGTTAAACCAGAGCCACGTGAAAAGGGTTTTTGAATAGCATTCAAGTTTCAATTTCTGTATTTGGTACCAAGTCATGAAGTACCACTCCCTGTAACTTTTTAATACAAAAATGAAAAAGTTACAGGGGGTGGTACTTTGTAACTTGACACCTCTGTACAGGGTGAGAAAAATTAAAAAATTTATTGTGCACTAAAACCACCTATATTCTCATCAGCTAACTAGCCACATTCATCCCTCAAAATGCCAGACAAAAAAAAAATGACTCCACTAAACAGGCCCTATCTCACGGTCTATAAGTTTTTCTCCAATGTTGTGTCAATTTTATGGGTTTATAATATGTGTTTTTCTTATTGTTGTAGACCAATCATTTAGAACAACTTTACGCCACTATAAGCCTGGACGATTCCGTCAATGTTGCTGCAGAAAAAAAGAAGAAAACTGAAGAGGCAGAGGTTTCGCCTGCTGCTGCTTCTGGTGATACTAAGGGTGATAATTTAGATAATAAAAGTAAGTGAATTTTCATTAATTTCATTGGAAAAGTTTGAAATTTCAGTATAATGAGCTCCTAACTATTCTCTTTCTTTCCTGAAAATTTCATAATTTTCCCTTGGACAGTTTTCCGGGAAAAAAATTAAATGTAAGATGATGCATTTATGCCTAATTTGGTTAATTTTCATTGATTTACCATGTCGTTATTTTTCACTGAAAAAAATTGAAATTTCAGTATGATGACCTCCTAACTTTCCTCTTTATTTCCTGAAAATTTCATAATTTTCCCTTGAACAGTTTTCCGGGAAAAAAATTAAATGTAAGATGATGCATTTATGCCTAATTTGGTTAATTTTCATTGATTTACCATGTCGTTATTTTTCACTGAAAAAAATTGAAATTTCAGTATAATGACCTCCTAACTTTCCTCTTTCTTTCCTGAAAATTTCATAATTTTCCCTTTAACAGTTTTCCGGGAAAAAAATTAAATGTAAGATGATGCATTTATGCCTAATTTGGTTAATTTTCATTGATTTACCATGTCGTTATTTTTCACTGAAAAAAATTGAAATTTCAGTATAATGACCTCCTAACTTTCCTCTTTATTTCCTGAAAATTTCATAATTTTCCCCTTGAACAGTTTTCCGGCAAAAAATTAAATGTAAGATGATGCATTTATGCCTAATTTGGTTAATTTTCATTGATTTACCATGTCGTTATTTTTCACTGAAAAAAATTGAAATTTCAGTATAAGGACCTCCTAACTTTCCTCTTTCTTTCCTGAAAATTTCATAATTTTCCCTTGGACAGTTTTCCGGAAAAAAAATTAAATGTAAGATGATGCATTTATGCCTAATTTGGTTAATTTTCATTGATTTACCATGTCGTTATTTTTCACTGAAAAAAATTGAAATTTCAGTATAAGGACCTCCTAACTCTCCTCTTTATTTCCTGAAAATTTCATAATTTTCCCTTGAACAGTTTTCCGGCAAAAAATTAAATGTAAGATGATGCATTTATGCCTAATTTGGTTAATTTTCATTGATTTACCATGTCGTTATTTTTCACTGAAAAAAATTGAAATTTCAGTATAATGACCTCCTAACTTTCCTCTTTATTTCCTGAAAATTTCATAATTTTCCCTTGAACAGTTTTCCGGCAAAAAATTAAATGTAAGATGATGCATTTATGCCTAATTTGGTTAATTTTCATTGATTTACCATGTCGTTATTTTTCACTGAAAAAAATTGAAATTTCAGTATAATGACCTCCTAACTCTCTTCTTTCTTTCCTGAAAATTTCATAATTTTCCCTTGGACAGTTTTCCGTGAAAAAAATTAAATGTAAGATGATGCATTTATGCCTAATTTGGTTAATTTTCATTGATTTACCATGTCGTTATTTTTCACTGAAAAAAATTGAAATTTCAGTATAAGGACCTCCTAACTTTCCTCTTTCTTTCCTGAAAATTTCATAATTTTCCCTTGGACAGTTTTCCGGAAAAAAAATTAAAT